CAGAACAGAAGGTAACTTAATCAAAATCTTTATATCAGCGGGGGTACAAGCAAGATTTAATCAACTAAGTGTCAAACTTGTGGTCGCCAGCTGGCCCTTGAGAAACTGCACAATGGTTAATATAGTTTGCTATTAGCTCTCTATTTTTCTATACCTCTATTCATCTTAACTAAATGTCATTTAGGTTCATTGTCCATGAGCAGGAGATATTTACAGCACTTTGAGAAATACTGAGTAACTTGCCTCCTTAATGCATTTACCTGTCTTAACTTTCTTTCTATTTCCCATTTTCCACTATTTCTTTCATGGAAAGTCTGTCTTTCCAATCTCTTCATAAGACCCCTTTAGTAAAAAGAATGTCAGCAATAAGCGGGGGAGTTATAGTAGTGGGGAAACAGAGGGGGTTTTAGGAGAGGTTTCTTTAGGAGTGGATGTGGCAATAGAACTAAGAGAAACTGGAATTTGGGACTTGTGAGCCAGATCAGATTTCAATACATCATTGCCAATTTGCCTCGTGGAGAGTTTGTTGTTAGTCACAAACACAATGATTCCTGTGACCAGAGTAACAATTATAAACATTATGGCAAGAAAAAATAAAACATGAGGGTGCGATGTGTTCCACCCTTTCTTTCCCCCAGCTGGAACTTTGTCAAGCAGCAATGGAGGTCAGTGGGGCTTCGCCAAGGAACACTGGCCGCCTCTCGGGTCGCTGAGGCCGCGTACTCCGTGTGCCGCCCCAAGGGGGCTCCGTCATCACTCACTCACGCGTGACTCCCCACGGATGCTGCCTGCTGAAGCTGAATTGCTTTCTTGTTCTAAGTGGCTGTGTTCGGGTAGCTTCTCCATCTTGCATTAGGGGCAAATTGACAGGCAAGCCGAGTCTGTGCCCCGCACCTCAGCTCTGCGAAGGGAATGGATTGAGAGTAGATGATTCGGGACCCAGCTTTCCCTGCGGTGCCGACCCGGGGCGATTGCCGTGTGGCTGGGAGCCGCAGAGCTGTCAGCGCCTGTCCTCCAGGCGGGGACTCCGGTGCCTAAGTGGTACGCGTCCTGTGCCTGCCCGCCCTCCTCCCTGGGAACTGAGGGAAGAGCGAGAAATCTTGCTTCGAAGTCCACATGGCTAGCGCACGAGCAAGGCGCCACTCGGGGGGGCCGCGCCTGGGTCCCTGCTGTCATCTGGGCCAGGACCGCTGTCCTGGACGCTGGGAGCCCGGCCTCTGGCTCCAGCACCACAGGTCCCCTGGGCTTCTTCGGGTCCATCCCTGGAGCCCGCTACCCTGCCCTGCTCACTAGGCCCTCTCCTCAGCCCTTCTGCCAAAGCTGCACGGGGTTCCTGCCCCTGTGCACCCCGGGCACCGCTGTGGAGCATCAGCCTCCACGGGCACCTTGCAAGGCCAGGAGCAGGGGCCCCTAACCCGGTGTCCGCACAGGGCCTGGAGATAGGTGAGCTGGGAGTCCTGAGCCCCGTGCAGACCTCGCTCCCTGTTCCGTGAGGACCCTTGGTCCCCAGGGGCAGCACAGACTCCCCCACCGGGCAGAGCAGCCCCCGAGAGCACAGGGCAGGCGGAGAGGGTGCGACCACCCACCCGCTTGGGACCTGACTCCACCCGGTGTAGACGGAGCATCTGTGAGGCTCGGGTTTAGCACCGGCTGCACTTCTGCAGCAGCAGCAGAGAGGCGAGAGGTGCTTGAGGCCCAGGACAGCTCTGCAGGTCTCAAGGACGGAGAGCTCCGGCGGTGTGGATGTCGGGCGCTGGGGTCTGGAGGATGAGCGGAGCGACCCAGGCCGTCGCTGGAGGTTGGAGGCCCCGCGTGCACATCACCCACAATGAGTGTCCGAGCTGAGCGTCCAGCCGAGGACGGCCCTGGGCTTCCACCATGGACACAGATGCGGGTTAAAAGGGTGTAGTCGTGAGCCAGAAAGACACAGCCAGGTCCCGGGGCGGTGCCTCAGGGAGGAAAGCTGAGGGAAAGACTGGAAGACAGGACAGTGGAGATCTCAGCATTACCAGCTGCGTTTTCTCTTTTGTAGAGGGAAAAGCCGGAAGTAAATGCAAACATCTAAGTAGTCACAGGCTGCCTATGTCCTGCCTACGACCAACTTCTGGTCCCTCTGCTCCAGCCCCAGGGCTCTCCTGGCCCCAGATGCTCCCAGTTATGCCCAGGGCCAAGCTCTGAGTCTGTGGGCTTTGCTCCAAGCCGACAGATGACCCCAGCATCACCAATTTGACCTTTGTGGGCCCGGGGTCCCAGGGTCCCAGGCACCTGGGGACAAAAGCAGCAGGGAGCGGCAGAGCCAGGGCTGCTGGTGATTCTGTCTCCGGTCCCTGGCCCCAGCCAGCCCTGGGCCTCAGTTTCCCCATGCACAGGCGGGGGGTTCCCGGCCGGGGTGCGGGCCTGTGGCCCCCTGCTTGCCTGGAGAGGCCGTAGGTTGTGGGCGGGTCCGTGGGAGGAGCCAGGCCAGGACCGGTCCCTTCCCACTGCCTCCTCCTCCTTCCCACCTTCATCTCTCCTTCCACCCTGTCTGGCTTCTCCCTCCTTCAGACACAGCTCCTAACCCACAGTCTGCCAGTCTGCCACTTCTCCTCAGTGTGTCTGTTTCTGCCCAGCCAGAAACATTTTCAAACATTTCAAAACATTTTCAAAACATTTCCAATCCCAAAACATTTTCATCCCTAGGAGAGGAAACCCAGGCCCCCAGCCCCTGACCCCCACAGACCCTCCTGCCCTCTCTGGCCTGGCCTGCTCTGGACAGGTTTGAAGGGAAGCTCGGCGTGTGTCCCTTTTCTCGGGCTTCTGTCTCTTACTGTGACAGTTCCTCAGTTGGCCAGCCTGCTCGTGCGCGTCCTTTTCAGGGCTGACTCGCACTCCACCATGCACATGGCTGGGTCCGCGCTCTCTCCTCTGTATAGGCCCTGTGGGCAGCTCTCCCGCCCACCCATGGATAAATGCCCCCTGGCCAGTCACTTTTTTTAACGTTTTCTTAGTCACTTCGTAGCCCTAAGTCCTTTGCACACCCCAGAAGTAATTCTCTGCTCTTATTTATTTAAAAATTAAAAATAAAACTTACCCAGAAAATGGCCAAAGCGATTTACATTACGAGGGCAGGTGACGAAGTGTCTTCCCAAGAGCCTCGGGCTTTTTGCAGATTTGCAGTGACAGTGATTTAAAGCACTCGGTGTGACTGATCTTTTCCCAAAAAACCACAGAACTTTCTCTGGCGTGCACCGGGGCTGTGCAGGGCAGGCAGCAGACAGGAGCAGCGCCGTCAGCACCACGTGGTAGCTTCCTGTGTCCACCTGCAAGCGCCCGCCCCATCCCATCTGCCCACGAGCACTGGCCGAGCCCCCAGGCTGCCTGGGGCAGGAAGGGACCAGGCTCACGCAGCAGCCGCCAGCCTCTCCCGAGCAGCCCTGGGGCAGAATGAAACCCAAGCCTGCTCCCCTCGGCCTCGCCAGGACCACACAGGGTCCTGTACCTCCTCAGCAGTGGCCTGGTCTGGAAAGGTATCTGGGAGGTGCGACCAGCCCTGTCAGTAACTTACTCACTCACGCACGCACGCACACACGCGCACGCGTCTTTAACCCTTCACCTTCGCCACCTTGGATCTCGGCCTTGGGCTTCCCTCGTCCAGAGCCGGAGAAGCGGCCTCCGTGGCCCTGAGCCCGGTCCCTGGTGTTCTGCTGTAGATCAACGCCCGGTGCAGCGCCCAGAGAGGCGGCTGAGGAGGACGTGTCCCCGAGTCCGGGGGGAATGACCGTCCCGAGAGCTAGGGAGGGCATCGGGATTCCACACAGAGAAGCCGCTCACCAAAGCAGTAGCCAGGACAGGACCGGGACTTACAAACACACGGGAACTTGGGAGTCTGAGGCAGCGTTCGAGGAAGCTAGTGTTTTCTCTAGTCAGTCTGTGACCACAGAGGATGCCCTGGAATCGATTGGCCAGTGAAGACACCTCATCCCCAGCTCACGAAGACCCCGCTTCAGATCCAGCACCAGGCAGAACAGTGAAACCCCAAGGGTCTGTGTGCCCTGCTAACCCCAGCCTCAGGCGCCTGGGCCGAGAGCTGACGTGCTAGTTCCCCAGCGAGCAGCTGCAGCCATCCCTGCAGCGCTGTCAGCTCCGGGCTCCTCTGGTGACGTGGTCCTGAGATTTACAAGCTGCACTGCCCTGTGGACCCGTCCTGGGGTTCCTGAGCCCCCTCCTCCTCTGGGTGGGGCTGGACACTCGAGGCCAGCAACAGGTGGACCAAGGCTGTAGGATGCAACACAGGTCCTCGGCTGGGTGGCCGGAAGTGCGGGGTGTACTTCCTCTGTCCACCTCCGTCTGGCAAGGCCTTGGCCTCCACACAGGCCGTGGCCGCCCCTGGGTCCCAGCGCACATGGGCTCAGTCTCTTGGCCTGGGCAGAGCGCTGAGCCCTAGGGCTCGCCTGGAGCTGGTCTCAGGCTGTGGCCCTCCCAGAATTCTGGGGACCGTTCCGGACACCCGCCCCAGCCCCTGCTCCCCTCCACCCCAGCTGCTGCTCCTTCCTTCCGCACCGCCTGGCCATTGAGACCTCGGACAGGGACTCCTGGGTCATGTCAGGCCCACCCGGGTCATCCAGCACCAGGCCCCCTCTCAGTCTGCATGCAGCCCCCTCTGCAGAGCCTCTCTTGCCCGGCCTGGTGACAGCAGGGTCATCTGGGGCAAGGGGTGGGCGGGGACTTCTGAACTCACTGCACCCACTTCTTGCTCAGGGTCCCCAGGCCGGACTCAAGTTTGCAGTCCAAACCTGTCGTGTCCCTTCCGCTTGAAACGGAATAAGCACTCTCTGCTGTCAGAAGCTAGGAAGGGGCCGGCGGAGGCTGGAGGGCCCGGGCTGCAGGCCACTGCCTCAACTCAGTTCCTAAAGCGGTGCTGCAGTGTGAAGGGGAGCTGGCAGGGATCTTGGGGTTCCCGAGACCGACCGGTGCCTACAGGACCGGGGCTCCCTTGACCCCATGTCTGCTTCTCTCTGCAGGACACGGAGATCCTGAACACAGCCATCCTCACGGGCAGGACGGTGGCCATGCCTGTCCGGGTGGTGTCGGTGGAGGAGCACGGGGCGGTGACAGACATCTCGGAGCAGGTGGAGTGTGCATCCGTGGACGAGGATGTCATCAAGGTAAGCGGCCGGGGCAGGGACAGTCTGGCTGAAGAAAGTGCTCCACCCGTGTGGCCCTTCCAGCCCTTCATGTTGGCGTCTGCAGACCTAGCAGCTTTCCTGGTCTCCTCCCCGCTCCCTCCGTTTTTTCCTTTCTTCTTCTCTGTGTTTACTCACCCACAGATTGGCAGTGCATACATACTGTGTCTGATAGATCAGGGTTTTGTTTTGATTTGACTTGCTTTTGTGGCACTGGGGTTCGGGGTTCACGGCCTTCCTTCACACTGAGCTACAGCCCCAGTCCTATTTAGTTTTTGTTTTGAGACGAGATCTCACTGGCTGGGCTCGAACTTGGGACCCTGCTGCCTCCACCTCCCAGAGTGCTGAGATTTCAGGCTGGAGACACCGAGTCAGCTTCATACAGTGATGGGGGAGGCTGCTCAAAGGGTGCAAAACCCAAACTGGGTAAGAAGGGCCCTCCCGAAAGGGCTCCCCCAGCCCTAGAGATCTACTCCAGCCAACCAAAGCCAGGAGGGAAACAAGACCTAGAAACAAATATCTCTCGTTGATGCAGAGCAACCCTCAGTGACTCTGAAATGATCCGGACGTGGAGCCCACTGCTAATGCCTGGGGGAATGCCATCAGGGTCGTCAGGGGAACGGCACAGTCAAACTGGAAACTGCCTCCTGAAAGGGCGGGTTGGATGCCTGGCTGCCAGCGGAGCAGGGCGGAATCTGAGTCGGCCAGAGCAGGGTGTGGGGCCAGCGGCTGGCATGCATGGGCACAGCCCGAGACTGGCCCGGCGCTGGCTCTGGTCCGATGGGGCCACAGATGCCACCAGCTGGGTGGAGCAGGTTGGCACATGGTGGGGGAGGAGAGGGCTCCGATGCAACCAGTGCCGAAGCTGGAGTTTCCGGTTGGTCCGGAATCCACAGGCTGGAAGCAGCTCTGCAGCAGAGGCAGGAGAATGATGCAGAGGTGACGTGGGAGCAGCAGCCTCCGAGGTGGGGACACTGAGCCCGAGAGCCAGGGACTCTCGACCTCCGAGACCTGGGCACTCGGGCCCCCCACCCCGGACAGGGTCTGCACCGGGGCTCCCGGTGGCCCCACACGGCCTGTGCTTTCTCGGAGGCTGCCAGGCCCCAGTGAGCACGGAGTCAGGATGTGGAAGAGGGTGCGAGATTCCGACCCTGGCTGGAGGAGTCATGGGCTGGATTTCCCTGCTGCCTGCCTGGCACCCAGGGCTTGGTTCCAGCTAACGGATCCCAGGGAGAGCTGCAAATAGCTGCACAGGCATGAGTGGGCCGCCTGGTCCCTGCGGCCAGCCGCATCCAACTCTGTGGCCCACATCAAGACCTTCAGGAGCGTGGGGCTGTGGACAGGTCCTCCAGAAATATTTCAACAGCTGTCAGGAAAACAGGACGGGGGACACTGGGCAGCAGGCATAACACGTGTGCTCTTAGAGAATCTCAGTGCCCAGGCGGTGCCGGCTTAATGGCAGCCTCGACGTCCTGTGTCTCTTCTCTCGCCTGTTGCTGGGTGTCACTGGGAAGAGCTGTACACCCGCGGGTCTCGGCTGCTGAAGCCCCCATCGGCCTCAGCCCTTGTGTCCTAGGTTAACATGTTATGGGGCCGAAACTGAATCAAGCCAAAAGCAGAGGCGGGTTTTTGTTTAGTTGGCTTGGGCTTGGGTTCCTACAGGTAGAAAGTAAGAGATTCTGGCTTCAGGGATGGCTGGATCCAGGCCCTTGAGTGAAGAAGTGTTTCATTTCATTTCCGGCTGCACTTGGCTCAGCATCCTCTGTGCTGACTGAATTCTTGGACAAAACGTGCTGCCCAAGACAGCTGCAAGGAGCTCTCAGGCACCATCTTTGCAGGCAAAGATCTAGCAGAAAAGAGCAGGCACTTTTTGCCTAGCCTACTCTGGATACTTCCTGAGATGCCCTGATTAGGCCAGGCAGTTCCTGTGTTCACCCCTAAGCCAATGCCATAGCTAGAAGACCATGAAGCTCTGATTGGCTTAGGCTACGGTCACATGATCCTGCTCTTCCCACTGCAGGTGGAGCTTGAGCCCAACCTCTAGGCTGTGGCCAGGAAGGGGCAGGTGCCCTGGAGTGACTTCAGGGAGCCCCCCCCTCCCCTCTTTTGACTTGTTGCTGCCCAAACACCAGCCCCCATTCCTTAATTTGTCCTGGGTTGTGGAAGTGGCCAGCTGCATCCACTTAGGAACCATTGTCCTCCATGCCGTTACCAAGCCCACATCTGCCCTGTCGGGGCCTGGCTGCCTGGGGGCTTCGGTGAGGTGCTGCCTGCCTGGGCTTCTCCGAGGAGGCACTGACTGAAGGACTCAGAGAAGAGCCCCAAAGTTAGCACTAGATGTGCAGAAAGCAGAGAAGCAATGATTGCAAATCAGGGCTCCGAGTGGAAGCATCTGACCTGTGAGGGAGGGGCTGTGTGCGAAACCAAACCTCAGTGCAGCTCAGTGTCAGAGTGCTGGAAAGCGAGCGTGGACAGCACCAGAGGGAGGCACGCTGTGGGCCGAGCACCTCCATCAGGTGTCACTGCCCCTGGGCCCAGCCGCAGCCCTGCTGTGAGGCCACTGCCTCAGGATAGACAACCTGCCCTGTGCCTCCAGGGTCCAGAGCCGCCAGCCCAGCTCTGACCCCCACCTGCTCCAAACGTGGATCTGCAGAGTCCACTGTGCCAGGCACACCTCTAGGCACCATGGGTACAACACTGAACAAACGGGTGAAAACCTTGAGCTCCAGAGCTTATGTTCTGTGAGGAGGACAGGTCACAATCCCAGGTGAATACACGGGGTCCCAGATGGCAGCTGGTGACAGGGAGGTGACACATGGTTGAGAGGAGGTTTTGTGAGTGCAGTTTTAAATAGGAACGCCAGGCTGGCTTCAACTCACAGTGATCTTCCTGCCTCAGCTTCCGAGTGCTGGGATTGCAGGTGCGCGGCACCACCCCGGCTTCCAGCTTCCGGCTTCCCGCTCCTTCTTGCAGAAGAGCCGCTCACTTTTTGGTTCTGTGGCTCCCACTGGGAGCCGCAGGACATGATGAATGTGTCCTAAGACTTCCTCAGTCACGAGTGACACTTCGGAGCAGCAGGGACAGCGAAGCCACCGTGCCTGGCAAGTTCAGGCCTCCGCTGCCGTTCCTCTCCATCATTTATATATTCTGGAGAGGTTGTGTTCCCGCCCACCCAGGCTCAAAGGTAATAAATGAGAAGAGTCAATGGTCTGTAAATTACAACATTGATTAAAGAAGTGATTGCTGGTCTAACTCGGCTCGGCGATTATGCTAATTCCTGCCCACATCCGGGACCTTGGCTGAAATTGCTTTCCACCCCTAATCAGCACGGGGATGTCTTAAACCACTCCTGACCCGGACTGAGAAGAGCATCCGAGCATGGGCTCCCAGCAGCTCTGGCCATCGTCCCTAGCAGGTGGAGGGAAGCCCTGGATTGGCCATCCGTGGCCCCGAAAGCTGGGGAGCCACAGTCCATTGTTCAGCACTGGATGTCACCTGGTGGAGGCCACAGACCTCAGAAGGACTCGCTCCAGAGTGCACAGTCTAGCAGGAGACGGATAAGCAAATCAGCAGTTGGAGTTTAGTGGAGAAACAGAGCCTCATTAGCTCCGAGATGTGAAGCCAGGCGGTGGCTGGGCACTGCTGCCGAGGAATCGGCTTTCTGTGCTCTCAGAGGAGCCAGTGACCCTACAAAGGCTACGAAGCACTGCCCGGGAGCTTGCTGGAAGCTTTCAAATTAGCTTCTTACATTTCTGCCGGGTTTGCCTCTTACCTCTTCTAAGTCTCGCTCCCAAGATCTTTGATGTTGTCCTGAAGCAGATGTCCTCATGAAAGGAAGGATCTCTTCATCTATCCATCTTTATGTCTGTCCATCCATCTGTCCATTCACCCATCCATCCATCCATCTATCCATCCATCCACCATCTGTCTACCTAAACATCTCTCCAACCTTCTATCCTTCCATCCTTCCATCCATTCTTCATTGACCCATCCATCCTTCTATCCTTCCATCCACCCATCCATCCACCGAGCTATCCATCCATCCTTCCATGCATCCATTCATCTGTGGATCCATCCACCCATCATCTCTCCATCTCTCCATCCACCTTCCATCCCTCCCTCCCTCGATCCACCTGTCCATCCATCCCTGTCTTCAACCTTCCATCTCTATCCATCAAATACTCACTTCACTGAGCTCCTGCTTCATGACCAGCTGGATAAGCAACTAAGAGATTGGAAGATGAATGTGATGTGGTTTCCGCCTTCAAGGATGTCACATTTTTCAGAAGTGTTACAGACGCCTGGGGCCAATTTAAGTCACATCCATAAACTTGGGCATGCAAGGCGGATCGCACTGTCTCCCTGTAACTCGACTTGGTTTCTGTTTTCAGTCTTATACTCATTAGGGTGGCAGAGGCAGAGTCTGATCCGCAGGGTGTCGCTGTCACCAAGGCCCCGGGAGGTCGGCTGATGGGCTCAGCTCTGGTCCCTGTCCTGTGGGCAGCGTTACTGACCACGTGCGGTCCCTCTCGCTGGCCCCATCAAGTCCTCTGGCCCTGTCCTGTGAGCTTGAGACACAGGCTTCCCGCTGCCTCCTCCCAGCCCTGGGAATGGCCATGGGCTCACATGGATTCACCTTTGACTGCATAGCGTTAGCACAAAAGCCAGATGCTTGCAGGCTTTGCCATTTGTTTCCTTTGTGCATCTGATTTCTTTCTGATCCGCATCATCATTTTCCTCAGGAAACAACCTGCTAGACATGGGAAAAGGGAAGGAACACAGTTCCCAATGCCCCCGTCACTGGCAAGATTCTGCCATTCACATACGGAAAACAGATACACAAATAGCAATGGCCCAGGCGTCGGGGGCACAGCCCAGGGCAACTGATCTGGGTCAGGCCAGGCTCGTGGGGGGCCGGGGACTTCCAGCAGTGGGGACGTGTGTAGCAGGGGTCTGTGAGCAGACCGGAGGGTGCAGAGCCACTGGTGAGGACACTGCTGGGGGCACAGTGGCCTGGAGGCTGGAGGGGACGGCTGGGTGAGACCGCTCCCGGAGCAGCCCTCAGCCTGGGCGGACACCCTGAGACAGGCGCAGCCCTCCACCCGCCACACCCAGCCACAGGTGCAGCCCCGGCCAAGCGCAAGTTGGCTTTCACCCCCAGCTGCTCTCCATCCCAGGTGGGGCGAGCCTCGCCCTGTGGGAGACAGGAGCTGCGGACGTCAAGAGGAGAGCAGCAGCCTCAGAGGCGCCCCCTCCTGCTGGCTCCCTCCTTCTCTGTCCCCTCAGCCTGCTCCTTCACCCTGTTCCGGGGTCACTTCACAGTTCAACCAACTCCCCCAGACCCTCTTCTCAGGCTCTGCGTTGGGAGGAACTTGAACTGAGCTTTTGCGCTGTGCAGGGAAACAGAACAAGGGCTGGTGTGGCTCGGGGCAGAGCGGCTGCCCAGCACGTGTGAGGCGCTGGGTTCTGTCCCCAGCTCCCCAAGAAAAGAAAAGAAAAGAAAAAAGAAAAGAAAAGAAAAGGGAATGAGCTGAAGCCTGGTGCGGCCCGACTTCCCCGGCCCTCTGCCCCGTCTGCAGGTCTCCGACCACTGCGACTACGTCTTCGTCAACGGCAAGGAGGTGAAGGGCAACACGGACGCGGCGGTGAACTTCACCTACCAGCACCTGAGCGCCCCGCTGCGGGTCACCGTGTGGGTGCCCCGGCTGCCCCTGCACATCGACATCTCCGACACGGAGCTCAGCCAGATCAAGGGCTGGCGGGTCCCCATCCTGGCCAGCAAGCGGTGAGCCAGGCAAGGCCGGGCCCGGGAGCTCAGGCAGCCTGGCTTCCGCAGTGTGAGCCGAGGCAGCCTGTGTCCTCCCGGGGTCCCCCTGTCCCCCCAGTCCTCCCACCCCAGTCCTCAGAGGCTGAGGCGCTGGGACCTGCCCAGCCACAGGCCGCCTGCAGCAGGTGGCAGCTGAGCCCCAGCTACCCCATCGGGGCTCAGGGTGTCTCTTCCCCGAATGGCAAGAAGGGAGAAGCTGCTTTTCCTGGGCTTATTTCCTGCATAAATAGATCATCAAGGTTCTGTCTGGGCCTCATGGAATCTGCCAGCTGGAGCTGCAGCCTACAGGGCAAATTATGGGCTGCAATTTAACTGCATTCATGCTGGAACATGGGGTCACCGTTTGCAAAAAAGGGAACCTGACCTCCGTGCCTCTGGGGTCCGCAGGAGGCGGGCCAGGCCCCTTCTCTGGGAGGGCGGGGGTGAGGTGGGGCTTCCGGCCTGGGACCCCGGGACAGGAAGAGGGGGGCGCACTGGGGAGAGCGCAGGGCGGCCTGGGTCCCGGGGGTCACACGGGGTCACGGGTGCCCGAGGGCGTCCCCGTCCCCCAGAGCAGCCTGGAGTCTCCCCACCTCCCGCCCGCTCCGTGCCTCGGTTTCCTCTGCTGGGTGCTCTGCGGGGCGGAATGGTCTAGACCTGCGCATGCACGGGGGCCGGGAAGTTGGGGTTCGGCCGCCGTGTGTAAGGCGTTAGACACGCGGCGCGCGGTCCACAGAGCCCCGCCTGCCCCCAGGCCCACGCGCGACAGCGAGGACGAGGACGAGGACGAGCAGGAGCACGAGCGGCGGGGCCGCGGCTGCGCGCTCCAGTTCCAGCGCGCTGCCGTGCGCGTGCTGGCGCAGTTCGTGTCCGAGGCGGGGCCCTGGGCGCAGCCCCGACACCTGCTGGGGCCCGGCTGGCGGTTCGACGTCAGCGCGCTGGTGGCCGACTTCGTGAAGCTGGAGGTGCCGCGCGTGGCCTCGCTGCAGGAGCGCGGCGTCCTGGCCGGCCGGGAGGTCGGGATGACGACTGTGCAGGTGTGAACGGCGCTCCTCCGCCCACCGTCATTCACTCAACAACCGCCCGTCCCCTCTGACCTGCTGCCGGAGTCAGATGGTCGCGTCAGGGGGTAGGGTTTCGGGCCACAGGGGGTGGGTGGCCTTTTCCTCCCTCCAAGTCCCTCGGGTTGCTGGCGCCTCTCTGGACCCTTACACCGTGTGGACATCTCAAGCCTGACCCGGCCTGTGAGTGAGGCAGAAGCAGGGTTTCCACAGCTATCTGCTGTGATGGGAGGCATGGCCTGCTTACACCTCTGGTCTCCAGTTAATCCTGTAACTCACTTAGAATGTGCACGGCTGCACGAAGTCTGTGTGCAACTTCTCATGAATCCAGTCCACAGGTTTACCGTGGACAGTAAACCAGGTTGTGCACTGTCTACGTGGGCGGGCTCGCCCGTCTTTAAAGGATTCCTTCTTCAGCAGAGAGAACTACAGTGCCTGGGGGCGGGGTGACTGCTTCCCCCAAGGACGCAGTCTGGGTCCGGGTTCAGAGTGACCTAGCCGTGACCCCTCACCCTGGGGCGTGGACCCCGGGCCTGTCCTCGACCCGGTGTCCGGTGTCCTCCGACCCCAGGTGCTCTCCCCGCTGTCGGACTCCATCCTGGCGGAGAAGACGGTCACCGTGCTGGACGACAAGGTGTCCATCACCGAGCTGGCCATCCAGCTGGTGGCCGGGCTGTCGGTCTCCCTCCACCCCTACGCGGAGCACGGCCGGGCCATCGCCACCGTGGCCACCGCTGAGGAGCTCCTGCGCACCCCCAAACAGGTAGGGTCCACGCCCGGGAGCGGGACAGGGCGGCCCGAGGGGAGGCGGCGAGGGGACGCAACGCGCAGACGGCGGAGGGCGGAGAGCGGAGGGCGGACGGCACAGCCCCAGGACGCGGGGCCCACCTCCATCACCCCACAGGGCAGGGCCCCGAACCAGACAGCCGGCGCCCCGCCCGAGCGTCACGGGGGTCCTGGTGGGTCCCCGCTGGCCCAGCCCCTCCGTCTGGAGCAGCATGCACGCTGCCCGCCCAGCCAGCTGCCTCCCTCTTTCCCTCTTTCTCTCTTTCCCTCCTTCTCTTTCTTCCTGTCTTCCGTGGTGCCGGGGCGGGGGGGGGGGGAACCCAGGATTTGCACACAGCTGCATCCCCAGTCCTTTTCCAATTGTTTATCTTGAGACAGGGTCTCCAGAATCGCCCAGTGGTCCAGACTGGGCTTGAACCTGCGATTCTTCTGCCTCCCCACTTCTGGGATTATGGGCACTGGGATGACTGCCACACCTGGCTCCACACCACCCTTAGCTTACCCCCCAGGGACCATTGGAGCCTCATGGGGGGCTGATGCTCTGCTCGGTGTGGCCGACCTGCAGGCCCCTGCTTCCCATTGGCCATAAGGAAGACGCCTGTGAATCCCCAGCACCCTGGGAGGCTGAGGCTGGAGGACTGCAGGTTCCAGCCCAGCCCGGGCAACTTAGTGATTTAGCAAGACCCTGTCTCAAAATAAAAAATTAAACAAAGGCTGGGGATGGAGCTCAGTGTCGAGGGCCCGGGTTTGATCCCTAGGGCTGCAGAAAAACCCCTGTTGGAAGATGCCATGCTCAGGAGCTGTAGGCACAGGGAGGGGGGTCCCACAGTCTGACTCCCACACCTCAGCGGCCCGGCCTGTGCCCCGGGCCTTGAGGAGGCCCACCAGCACCTGACGCCCAAGGCTTACCCGGTGTCAGCCGCCCAGCACTGGCCGCAGTGGGCAGAGGAGAGCCGGTCCCTGTCAGCCCCTCTGCAGGATGCGTGTCCTGTGCTCATCACCGTCCAAGGGGAGGCAAGGGACTGGGGACACCGTGGGGCAGGCGCTGTCTCCGGACACCACGTCCAGCCTGGTGCAGCCAGGAGAGCAGGCGGCCTGCAGCGCTGGGGGTGAGGTCCTGGCCATGAGATCCCCGCGGGGCCCGGGCCAGAACAGAGCTGCAGTCCTCCAGGTGGCACAGCAGGAGTGCGACTCCCAGGCCACTGAGGACGCCCGCAGTGAAGGTGCAGCAGGCAGAGCCTGGGCGTGACACGCTCCCTGGGAGCCGGAAAGCTGAGCCCAGCGTGGGCTCCCGGCTGTCTGAGAGCTGCCACCCGGGTGCCCGGCAGCGGGGTCAGTGATGCAGGCGGGGCCCCAGGCGCCGCCCACCCAAGGAGAGGCTTGAGGAGCCGAAGAGGAGCTCAGCACCACAGCGCCTGGGCAGCTACTGCTGCGTAACAAGCACCCGTCGCAGCAGCCTGAGGCAGCACGGAGCCTCTGCACACAGCCCGGTGGACAGCCAGGCCCCACGCTCACACACAGCCCCCAGTGCAGTGTGTCCCAGCCGTGTGGCCCAGCCCGTGTCCCGGCCGGCTGTGGAGTGGGCGCCCCTCTCCACTCCCACTCGGCCCTCGGCCCTCCCGGCACCTCAGCACCATGTGCTGCTGCCCTCCTGCAGCCCCCGCCTTCCGCTCTGCGCCTGCTGTGCAGGGCTCCTGCGCCCGGGTCACCTGGGATTGTGCCCTGAGCCGCGGCAGTCATGAGGGGACCCGGCCGCCCAGGTTGGGAGTCTGTGTGGGGCTCTCTGGCATAGGAAGCACAGAGAGAGGAGCAGAGGTAGGCTGGGAGGAGGCCTCGGCCAGTGCTCTGAGAAGGGCATGCCTTAGAGGAGCACTGAGGGGCAGCCTCCGCCCGGGGCCACCTGTGCCGCCAGACGAGGCCTTTGTCAGTGGACACTCACTGGGCCAGCGCCGGGAGGGCTTGGAGGGCTTCGCAGGCCAGCAGAGCCTCAGCCCTAGGCACAGGATCTCCGGAGCCACCCAGGTGTCTCGCCTGTGGGGAGCACGATTGCACCCCGTCTCTCTCACCGAGAAGGTGCTGGGCTTGTTCTGCGGGCAGGGCTGCGTGGAGCCAGCACCGCAACCCCAGGCCTTCGGAGATCTGCCTGCATCTGCCTTGTGGTTATTTGGTGTTAACATCTTTCTCCATCGAGAGTGGGTGGAGAAAGATAATTCCAGATGGAAGTCAGCTGGACGGACTCATTCGCTGTCAGTGGTTCTGCTCTCAGCCCCTAAGCCCAGAAGGCCCTCCTCCTGCTCCTCCTCCTCCTCCTGCTCCTCCTCCTCCTCCTGCTCCTCCTCCTCCT